ACAGTTTTACAAAAAACATATAATTGCTTTTGACATTGTCCAAGACGTCCACCTGTCTTAGCAACCATTTTTCTCCTCAACAATGGGTTGCTATCTTGGATAGTTACTTCTTTGACTTAAGGGTTGTAATTTTATGCAAAAGGATAGCAAAAAAAAAAAGAGCAGACTATTTCTTCTAATCCCCCTCTTTCTGGCTACATGTAAATTGACTCTCAAGAATAGTTGTAAAATCCTCCCAAAAATGAATACTAATCTTAGTTGAAATATTTCATCACTGTCTTCAAAAAATTTTGCCACTGCAGAGTTTGATATTCATTTTACTTTTGGCAGGAACTATTATGTTAAGCCCACTCATTCTATTGATATGTTATGCAACAACTTTTTTCTCAGCTTTTCAGCTCAAATTTGTTGCCGGGAGCACCCTGACACTCCTCTGGTGGAAGACAGTCATGCTGGTGACATGATCTGCCCTGAGTGTGGTGTTGTTGTGGGAGACAGGTGGGTCTTCAAATATAGCATATCTCTTTGTGAAGTTACAATTACTTATTTGTGCGTTAGACTGTGGTGCATTTTGTCTTTCGAAAAAAAAAATATAGTTCTTGTTACAGAAATCTCTATCAGAAACCTCTACCCACCCGAGGCTCATATTTTTAAGTTATTTATAATGGTAAGATAAAAGTGCCCTTAAGTGAAATGTTTGGAAATACTGTTGTGTTAACATTCAGTCCATCCAAAACGGAGCAGTGAAAGAATGTGGTGCTAATTTTCAATAGTGCTCTCAAGAGGATGTTGTGACCAACGAGAGCTTTCCTGGTGCTTGCATGGAGTTCTGTTTATTACTTCTCCCAATACAGTCAATCATGGGTCTGTATGTTCAACGAAAGTCCCATATGTCTATGACACAATCATGATACAAAAAATTGCAAGTACATTACGGTACACTAAAACATGTAAATACATTTCTTTTTTTATCAAGATTATTTGCTGGGGGTTTTTTGTGTTTTTTTTTTTAATACCCCAACAATTAAACATCATGCTTGGTTGCAATTTAATAATTAAATATGATTTGAATTTTAAAACTTTTTTTTGTGTGTTACGTTTTCAGAGTCATTGATGTTGGATCTGAGTGGAGAACGTTCAGTAATGAGAAAAGTACCAAAGATAACTCTCGTGTTGGAGCGGCAGAGGTTTGTGGGATAATTTTCCCAGGATTTGTTATCAGAGACGAGAGACCATGGCCATGTGTTTTTTTTGGGGGGGAGGGTTTTGGAGGGGGAATATGAAATAATTAGATTAGAGATCATTTTAGCTTACTTTCGAGAGGCATATTCGTGGTACGTAGCAGTTTGTTATGCAAGTGAACCATTTTGATGATAAATTGAACATTAGTTGGGCAGCGTAGTGGAATCAGGCTATCGTCAAAATAATCAGAGTGAAGAAACTTGCATTTTTCCACAGGTTGGTGAATTTTTATCAAATTTTTGTTTTTTGACTCAACACCTTATGCCCATTAAAGAACTCATTTCTGTGTGGATTTTTCTGAAAAGCGTTGATTAATGGCACAAAAATGTAAATTTTCATTTACCTCGGACTCTTATGCTGAGGAAATAACTAATCTTTGACGGCCATTTTATCTCTAATTTTACCTCTGAAAACTGGTGACCCCCACCTCCTTCTTTCGCAAATATCTTGTCTTGTATTCAAGATCAATGGATAATTTTGTCATCTATACAAAGACAAGTGAACAAGCTTTAAGATGATTCCAATAGCTCTACATGCCCAAAAATTGATGAGAGCCTGATTCCACCACGCTGCCTCACATTTATATTTTAATGTTCTCAATTCTTTAGGCATAATGGTGTTTGGATTTGTTTTTTTGGGTTTTTTTTCATCTTTACTTTTTATTTTTGGAAAAAAGCTGGATACACAACACAAGCCTTGCATCTAGACATGCATGTAACAGAAGAGTGTGTGAATTTATTAGTTTTCTCTCTTTTTCTCTACAGAATCCCTTGTTTGAAGGCAGCGACATGTCCACAATGATTGCTATTGGAACAGGCAGCGACAGTTTGAGAGATGAGTTTGGAAAGCCTATGTACAGAAACAGACGCACAGTAGGTTGACGTGGATTTGTGATTTCTTTCTTTTAAATCATTTGCTCGTCTTTTAAATTCGCAGTTATGTTAATCGTTCCCGATGATTAATAACATAAATCACCTTTAAAACTTGATGTTCAGTGTTGCTTATTTTATCTCTGTTGATGGAAAATAACTGATGAACTGTTAATTCATACATTCCGCTTTCGATGTTAGTCTGTTGATAATAAGATTAGAGCTTGGGCTTATTGATTTTCAGAAATGTGTATGCTACATAAGTATTGGTGTTCTGTACATAGCATGGAACAACCCATGTCTTTTTACCAGTGTTTGTGAATTATCAAGTCAAGCATGAGTTTATTGTTTTAATTCTGTATGTATTGAACCCCAAGTCTCTTAACTTTCATTTGTCTTGACTTAAACTTTTAAATAAGGCTCTGATGGGGGGGGGGGGGGGGTAACTGGACCTACAGAGCAGTAATTTAACACAGCTTACTTTGCATAATGCTGGTCAGATGACACTGCTTGCTGACCTGAATGCTGTAGATCCCCCTATCCCCACCCCCACCAACCGTTGATCGTGGGTATATCAGGTTAAATGTCTTTCACTTTTGAAAGGAGAGAATATTTCGTCGCTGCAGTCAAAACTGACAGCTTTTTTATCTTGACTCTGGCTCTTCATCACAACAGTTTAAATTATATTTTATACTAGCTTGGCCTCCTTTCGATGAAAGGAATGATCAGTGCATTAACATCAACTGAATATCATTGGTCTACTATCTTTACACTCTACTGGAATGGAGCAATAAATCTTGAGAGAAAAGACACATGTGTTTTCAAGTTGCCAAATATATAATAGATGCATAGATTGATTCTCTATTCTGTTTTCGTGGTTGTACACTCCAGAATTTCAAAGGTGTGGAATTAATGCGCTCTCATTGTGAACGGAAGCCTCACTTGTTCCCAATGGCGTCTAAGAAGACGGACTTTCTCAAGATTAGATCTAAACGAAACTAATGAAAAACTGAAAATTAAACTACAGTGACTTCAGACTCCTCAGTAAAACTGTGCATCCTTTAAATGATTCTGAAACACCGTTAATTTTTTCATATTCGAAAGTTTAGTGGTTCCGAAGTTTCAGGCGGCGAAAGTGACGGACTTTCACATATATAATATGTATAGATAACTGTTATAGGGTTTGGAACTTTGTTACGATGTGCTTGTTCAGGAGATATCTCATCTGTATTGAAATTGCAATAATTTAAAGTTTTGAAATGTTTTAATATTTTGCAGATGAATAGTTCAGACAGAGCATTGTTGACTGCATTCAGAGAGATTGGTCAGATGGCAGACAGACTGAATCTTCCCAAAATGTTGGTGGTAAGTATAGAAAGTTGATAATGTGAATTCTTTTCAATATCTACAATATTGTGCTCTTTCAGTAGTGCACCAATGTCAACTTTGATTAAAGAATTGACTTTCACCGCTGTTTGGGAAAAGACTGCAGGTGTAATTTCTAAAGGTTTTGGTTTTCAATTCTCATATGGGTAGCTTTGGTACCCTATGCAGCCTGATTAAAAAACAACAAGGAGCTGTTTCCATTACCGCTTGGTCTTTGATGGACTTTTGTGTTCATATTTACACTGCCAGGAGAGCTGAGGTCAGAGACTTGATGTCTATACTCTTATGTTTAGCCTAGATTTCAACATATTCATTTCACCTGTATGTGACGTATGGAGAAATGTTAAGATTGTGTGCGCTATAGATGGAGTTAATACTAGTGATAAGTTAATACGATGTTACTGCTCAGTCTGTGCAGGTGGACTTGTATGTCCGTGTTGTATTAGCCAGTGTGTAGAATCACAACATGGTGAATATTTTATGAATTTGAGGTTGAAAAAAAAGCCAGTAGTCAAAGAGTCATTTTGCATTGTAGAGAGAGAAAAGAAAAGGATTAGTTGTGGTTCCATTAACTCTCTTTTTTTCAAATGGAAGAGAGAACATTTATCTTGATGCTTTCTGGCATCAATGGTTTTGTCTTCTGACGTGCAGGGGTGAGCAAGTGATTGGAGGGGGCCATTGATTGGCCGTACCGCTTTCCTTTCCAGCTGTTGTTTCTGTCTGCCTGTCTTGCTTTTCCTCCTTGCTCTGAATTATTGTTATTGTGTTGGTGTACTTCTCTTTACCAGAACCCAGACTTTGGGGCAAGGGTGATTAAGTGGACTGGACTGGCAGGTTAATGGATTTATTGTGAAGTGATACAAGCTGTCTCTAGGATGGATGTATTTAATGTGTCTTTTACTAATATATTGATATGTAATAAAAATTGATTTCTCTTCACCAGGATCGAGCAAACACATTGTTCAAGCAGGTGCATGAAAGTAAAACGTTGAAGGGGCGCAGCAATGATGCTATTGTGTCTGCTTGCATGTACATTGCCTGCAGGCAGGAGGGAGTGCCCAGGACATTCAAAGGTAAGGTGGCATCGTGTGAATATGTGCTGTCGGCTCTTTATTTTTTTTCAGGTTCAGAAATCACTGTTTTTCTAGAGATCAGCAGTTTCAGCTCCAGGTCTTGTGTCATTATTGAGCTGAATTTACAAGTTATAAGCTATGTGCTCTGTATAATATACTGGGAAATTGTTTTACCATTGTGGGCGTTTTGTCACTTTGATATCGGGGATTTTAGAAACCTTTTTCTCCAATCCCCGTAAACATTTGCCTTGCTGAATGGGATATTGCAAACCTGGTATTTTTTAAATTGTTGATCAAATATTGATTTTTTGTGTGCATAGGTTGCTGTATGAAATTTTTTTAGCTATGTCGCAGATATATATGTTTTTTTCCCCTGTTAGGTTTCCCCTTTTTAGATAATGCATAACTAAAAAAAAGGAGTGTAAAGCTCAGGAGATGATTTTCATGTATGCCAGGGTATACTAGGGTTCAAAATACAGGATCACTTTGACATATGAATTTACTAACGAATAAATCGCCTCATGACTTTTTGAAGGGTGAAGCTTTGTAAAGAACAGCCCTGTTAGTCTTTTCGTACTTTTGATTTTCTCAATAGCCCAGATGTCTTAAGTATAATTTGACAACGAGAACATCACCCAGCACGTTCTATTGTGGATTTGTTGCTGAGTATTCATAAATCTTCACGTCCTCCTCCTTTCCTTAGAAATATGTGCAGTATCAAAGATCAGCAAGAAAGAAATTGGCCGTGTGTTCAAACTGATTCTGAAAAATCTGGAGACCAATGTGGAACTCATCACTACAGGAGATTTCATGGTGAGTTGTATAAGCAGATTGTCACACTGATTGGAACTAACGATTTAAACCAGTCTTTGCTAACCTGGGTGCTATCGCCGTCTAGTAGGCGATTTAGTAATTTTAATGGGAAGTGGGGAAATATGGTTCACATTGAATACAGCACACGTAATAATTCATCAACATAGCATAATTCACAATTTTACAATGGTTAGACAATCTTTCTAACATTCTAACATGTCAGAGCTGATCATCATTGTGCATCTCCCTATATTTTTTTGGCTAGAGGTATTGTGTCTTAACTGTAGAATGCACTTCATTGGAAACCCCCCGCCTCCCTGCGCTTTAAGATGCTATTGCCAATACAGTGGAACTCGGATTGAGCGTGATGAGATAGATTCCCTGTTTTTTTTCTTCTTTAAAATCAAATAAAAATAACCGGGATTCAACGAGCATATAAATCAGTGGGCTCGGATTCAACGAGGTCGCTACCAGGGTGAACAGCCCCTGCAGACATGGCTTTGTCATTTTTCTCCCAGAACGAACTTTATCTATTCCCGGAAACCACCCATTGCACCAGCATCGTGAACCATTGTTCTCTTACCCAATTGCATGCGACGAATCAGCTGCCTTTATTCATACCAACACATGCATTGTTGGCACGCACGTGTCTACTCTGGTGTGTGTCGGGGTCGGATGGGAGGCCTGCACACGTGTGGCTGTGTGCGTGGCGGGGAGGCGGGAGGGCACTAGCGGACCGGGCATTGAGCGTCGCAGATACAAACGCGTCACGGTCTTTTTTTCCCCTCGGCAACTGATCATTATTAAAATGATAAGCTAGTCTTGATGTAGATCTACGTAATGAATTGTGCGCTGGTCTATGGAATCAAAAGCTGCCATATGCTAGGCTCTACACAGCAACACAACTTTTTTTGCAAAATATTGAAATGACACAGGCGTGCGCATTTGAACTAATCGGTCTTTTTTTTTTACTCAGCTCGTGATATGCGGGCATTTCAAGCATTACATTACTTGCTCAATGCCTGTAATTATCTACACAAAACCTTGTGTTTGCTATAACGAACACTCGGATTCAACGAGATTTTAGGTCAGGCCCGGCGACCTCGTTGAATCCGAGTTCCACTGTATATTCTTTACATTTTTGTGAGCCTGTTCTCATTATCCAGTAAGCAGCGGGAGCCTTGGTGACTCGTCTGTTATTACCGTAGTCTTGTACAGAAGAAAAGCTTTCAACACCATAGTATGGTTCAAATAGGACAGATGTGCTGACAACAGTCTTGTTCCTTTCCTCAGTCTCGGTTTTGTTCCAATCTGGGTCTGCCATCATCAGTGCAGAAAGCTGCAACACACATTGCCAGGAAAGCTGTGGAAATGGATTTGGTCCCAGGGTAAGTTTGTCTTTTTTTTTTGCTGAAGTATCGATAAGGGTTAATTTAAGGGTAACCTTTAACCCATCTCTCCTCCCCCCCCCCCCCCCCAAAAAAAAAAAAAAGATTAGTTTTCATTGGTGCTGTTAAACGAGGCCCAGAGTGTGAAGCCTGCCAGTGCAAGATGTGTGGGCAGAGAATGAGTGAAGTGGTGCAAAGATGTACAGAAATATTGTTATAGACTGTAACCATGTTCCTATTGCTTGGTCCCTTTTGCTGAGAGTGGCTCCTTTCTTGAATTGATGTCTTTGATGGGAGAGTACAGACAAGGCCATTGTTCATATGGTCATAGTTGTGAGAACCTAATCTGGTTGTAAAGAATATTTACCATATGAGTTCTTTTACTCTTTTTTAAAAATATTCTTCTTTTTTCTTTTTTTTGGCTTGTTTTATGAATAAGCGGATCAGTTCTTGCGTTACATATTTTTAGATATTGGTTTTTATCTCGTTTTCTATGTCCTTTGACCACAGATTAACCAACCTATGGCAACTATTCATTCTTGCTGTGCTTATATATTCTGGTTGCTTACTGGTCCTGTTTTTCACTCATGTGTTACCTTGTTCTCAGGCGAAGCCCCATCTCAGTGGCAGCTGCTGCTATCTACATGGCCTCACAAGCTTCAGATGATAAGAAAACGCCCAAAGGTATGTTAACAAACCATAGATGTGTTGTTTGTGTCATTTTCTTTTGGAGTTAAATGGAGTGTATTGAAGTCAGCAAAGTTAGTTCAAGGTGAAGTCGTATTGGAGAATTGACCATGGCAGAGTGAAAGAAGCGGGAGGGTAAGTGAAAGAAGTGGGAGGGTAAGTGAAAGAAGCGGGAGGGTAAGTGAAAGAAGCGGGAGGGTAAGTGAAAGAAGCGGGAGGGTAAGTGAAAGAAGCGGGAGGGTAAGTGAAAGAAGCGGGAGGGCTCCCCAGTGGAGGAAAAGCAACTGTGCCTGGCAGAGGTGGATAGATTGACTTATACAATGAATGTAAAAAACCCAAATCTGCAAACCAAAGCGAATATGGACTCAATGCACCTGTCAACATGTTATACAGGGCATTATTCATAAATAATTTTAACTCAGTTGTTCAACTTTCTTTACCCTCCGCAGTATAAACTGAAGTTCGTACGTAGCCAAATTGTAGCCTACTTAACGATAAGATTTCCTCGTCCCTTGCGTGTGCTGGACTGTATTTGTAAACATTGTTCATCATTTTTTTTATTGCTATTGTGGTTCCTTTCTGCTGGGATATTGTATCTATCCTTCTCAGGCTGATTGGCCTGATAGATATGGTCAAAAGCCAGCTTCCTAAATGGTCTAAATTGTGTCAATGGGGTCTAAAAACACTGACAGTAAATACACAATTAAAAAAAAATTTACTTTCGTTCAGTTGGTTAGGAACTTGTCCAACACATGGAATTTCCTTCTTCGAATCTGAGTGAGGTCTACATTTTTTGTTGTTGACTGTCCTGAAATGCTTCTGTGGTGCCACGGATGGTTAGAGGATGCCATTGTTAGGTCCTACTTGTTAAGTTTCCCTCTGTTGTTTCTATATATGTCTGCCTTACCTTTTCCCCCAGCTCTGAACGATCATTATTGTGATGAAGTTCTTCTCTTTACTCAAAGATATTCCTTTGTGCCTGAACTGTAAAAGATGAGTAACTGAACCTGTATTTCCTCCCACCCCACAGAAATTGGAGATATAGCCGGCGTGGCGGAGGTGACCATCCGACAGTCCTACAAATCCATGATTCCCAAAGCTGCCGAGCTGTTCCCAGCAGACTTCAACTTCAGCACCCCGATTGATTCTCTACCTCTCAACTAACTCTCCTGCCGACTGTCTCATCATCATGTGTGACTGTGTTGTACTTGAGAAGCACTGCGTTATTTTTGTTATTTGAGTCACGACACGGTGGAATCGGGCACTCGTCAATTTTTGAGGATATGGAGCTATGCGTATCATCTTACTTAAAGTTTGTTCATTTGCTTTGAATAGAAATCAAAATATTAATGACTAAAGGAGGTGGAGGGCGCCTGGTGTCAGAGGCAAAATTAGTGAGAAAATGGCCACCAAAGTTTTGGTGTTCTCGGCAACCGCAAATTTTTATTTTTTGTGCCTTTTATTAATGATTTTCAGTAAAGTCCACAAAGAAATGTGATTTTAAATGGACATCATTTAACCCTATCCGTAGGCCCTGGGGTCAGTTTGTACCCCCGGGGTTGTATTCTTCACATTTTAAATACTTTTAGTATGAAGATCTCTTTGAAACTTTAAGTATTTCACAAAAATTGATTTTGACAGATTGCTATGCAAAGCGTATGGATTGGATTAACGATTAATTTTCCTCTTTGAAAGTGGTGGCACAGAGTTCCCCACTTCTTGTGTATACGATAGTAAAACACGACATACAGATAGGGTTACGGTGTGGAGCATCCCTCCCCCCGCCCCAAAACAAAACAAAAAAAGTTGATAAAAATTGCCAGACGGGGGAAAATGTCAGTTTCATCAATTTCATTGATTTGATAAGTGCCTGATTTCACCACAATGCAACACATTTTCATTCATCTCTTTTGTATTTTCTGCTACTCAGCCATTCTCATTATTTATGTTGTGAGTCATCTTTGACTTGTGATCTGTATCATTTCTCACTTTTATGTCAAAAAAATTGACCAGGGTTGGGTAGGCAAAGTCATTTTTGGGACTCTGAAAGTATCTGGAAAATGCTGCAGTGTATTGGTGGTGGTTTTAGTTTTAGTCTTTTTTCAAAGTTTGCAGACCATTTGAACAAATTTTGAGCTTTTGAAAAAAGACGTGCTTTTGACTTTTTAGTTATTGGTGTTTCTTTTCATATTTATTAGAAGTGAAAAGTGATGTTTAATGTCTTAAAACCTGTTGTCTCATATTTGTGCATTAAAGTCTATAAATTTGTCTCAAAAGGTGCCCTGAGATAGAGAATGTTTAGAAAATTTACTGAGAAAATAGATCTTACTATATCAGTCTGTACTTTGCCCATGTTTAATTGTTTCAAAGAGAAAAGATTGAATGCACTGTAAATTTGAAACGGAATGTTTGCTTTTCATATATTTATACTTTCACACCAGTGTTGATTGAAAAGTCTTATGGGGTAAAAGGAAGATGTGGTTAATTTTTTTTATCTTCTGATATTGTGATGTGTTTCAAACCCTGAATTTGGGGAAATAAAGCTTTCATCAGAGAGTGCTTATGTTCACATAGTTTTTTTTTGTTGTGCCCTACTATACTATAGTCTATAGTGAAGAAGTCTAGTAGACCTTATGCAGTTGCGAGTGCCGTAAAACTCATACAAAAAAAAAGAAATAAAAATTTTTTAAATTTTTTCTGTACTGAATTCTCTTTTCACTTTATGAATCCTGGCTATTTTTTAGCAGGCTGACCACCCTGGCCTGGTCACTTTGTACAGTATACAAAATTCATAATCACTGAACTAGTACTAGTAGAGACTTGGAATTGGTTACGTCTGTAGTCGGGTGGTTAGGCTACCCGACTGGTAATCAGGAGTAGGAAGCTGTGAGTTCAGAGGCTTGAGGCTCAGCCTGGTCCAAGTTTGCATCCTTGGAGAAGGCATTTTACAAGGATACTCCCATGTTTTGGCTGGGTCCTATCAGAGATAGAAATTAGGTTTGGAGGACTCGCCTGTTAATAACTTTTACAGTGTTACAAGAGGCATTAATGTAAACAATTTATTAATTTAGCAAACATATGATTGGTGGGTGGTTGGCGTGTGCTCTGGTGTGGTTTGCTTCTTCTTTCCTATGAAACATCTATCATCCTTTTCTCCCCTTCTTTTTTATGTATGTTACTCTCTTGTAACACCTCTAATCTTCTGGCGGTCATATGACCTTATGCAGTTGCGAGCGCCGTAAAACCTCTACTAAAACTAAACTAAAACATATGATTTAAAAGTGACGCAGTATGGAAACTGTTCATAATCTTTTTGACAAACCAAACTTATGTTTCGAAGTTTCAATGTTTATTTTTGGGAATTAAATTTAAAAATTGTCTTCTTGATTATCAAGATTCAGTAGGCCTACATTTGGATTTGGAAAACTGAGTGAAAATTAAGGTTGTTGCAGAGACATTAGACAATCCAGTTTTATCTCATTGAATAAATAAAAAGAAAAATTAATTTTATTATTTTTATTAAATGGAGGCTCTTTGTAAGTTCCTTCTTCGTTTTTTTGTTTTTGTTTTTGTTTTTGTATTTAGGCTTATCTACTCTTCTTGACTTCATGGAAGTTTGAGGTAGAGTATGCCAAATGTAGATGTACCTGGTGGTAGTTGTAGGCCTACTGGGTTTGATTCTAGAGTCTACACTTTCATGCTGCAACAGGATTTTGTTCTGATTTTCTGGCACCATGGTGTTTTCACCTTCTTCACCATAATATTCAAGATGAAATAAAGTGCTGGAACATTACAAGTAGGCTACACCATAATTGTAGAAGTAGACGCAGTTGTATAAGTTTATATTAACATTAACATCTCTTTCAACATTGCATTTAATGCAAGGCAAAGTTATTTAAAGTTGGGTAACCTCTGAATTTCACGCTAATACAATGTATAACTATAATAACACAAATTTATCAATACTACTGATCTCCAATAGGACCTAGCCAAGTGGGTGGGGAGCCTTGAAAACTTCCCAAACAATCTGAAGTTGAAGTTCAGCATCTTTGGCTATTAATATTATTATTGCTTCACATACTCCACAGTCAAGAAAGATAGCAATTGAGTTAACATAACAACAGCACATCTGATTGCGACTGGAAAACTGGTGTCTGTTTGCATAGGAGACCCAAGTTTGATTCTCGAGTGGGAGTAAATTTTTGAAGATCTGGGGCTTTCTGTTTGGAAGTAATGAAAGTGTCCCTCTCACTACTCTTCATCCCATGTTGGCTTTGACAGGTGGGGTGGAAAGCCTGCCTCCTAAATCGTGATTTAAGTTTGTTAGTGGGTGTGTAAAAATACATTAAAATATTTTTGTAAGTAATGGGAACATAATTTAGAATTATTTTCCATTTGAGTACACTCAACACATTGGCCCTGGCACTGCCAGTGGCAGGGTTAAAAAATGGCCTGTTTCCTAAATCAAATGATCTGAATTGTGTCTACTCTATGGGGTTTTGCTGTTGCACGCAGGAGACCTGAATTCAATTCGTGGGTGTGGAAAATGTCGTTGCTTTGTCATTTTGGCCTTAAGCCATGCAAGGTCAATGCCTCATATTCAGTGTCAGTCCGTGGGAACTTAAAGTTAAAGCGCGGGGCTTAAAAGTTAAAAAGAGTCAGAGGAGTAACTTATAAAGGGAAGAAAACCAGGTGGGGCTGAGGTTCCAGCCCAAGCCCCACCTCACAAGACACCACTGACTGATTGGTTGGGTCTGTAGTCTGGTAACGGCGGCCAGGCTACCAGACTTTTAATTCAAATTCAAGTATCACTATATGTGAGATTGCGGGTTCGAGGGAATTTCGATTATTCGTCTGTTGTGTAGCAGTGAATTGGGTGCTCCTCCATCTCCTTCACAACGCACAGAAAGTTTTTCTGCTGGTATGTTGTATTATATCCCTCTCAAACCAGGTTAGCCCTGACGGAGACACAGCCCCCCCCCCCCCACCCCCGCCTAAATGATTTAAACTGTGTCGATGGGGCAAAAAACAATCAATCATAGCTGCCTCCATATTATTAAGAATAAGAAAAAATAATTTGTACAAAATGTAAGCGTTTTTACAGCATTTCAACACATTAGGCCATATAAGTGTTGAAGATGAGGTGTTACAAGAGAGTAACAAACATAAAAAAGAAGGAGGAGAGATAGGATGATATAAATTGGACAGGAAAGAAGGAGCAGACCGCTCCAAAGCACCCGCTAACCACCCACCAGAGCATCCTCCATAAATGAACATGAAACGTCAGCAGATATAAAAAGAGAAACGAAAACGAAACATCAAAGCTTGTGAAAAATTCAAACAAAAATACAATATGCATGTTTTGAAAGGCACTGGTTTATCTAAAGACGACATTTGTTCTATAATTTATTGATGCTACAAAAAGCCTCTTTTTGATGTTGCACACTGATAAGTGTGGGCCAGGCAGCCATTTGTTAAGTAGAAATAAGCCCACTAATGCTCATGGCGTTATGGAAATAATCACTCCCACCTAGATCTCTTTTTTCAGTGTAGGTAAAGGACTTGTATCCATCATAGCAGATGTGAATCCAGACTTAGATGGTGAAATTAAGCGATACGACGCAAGCCAGGCTCACAGCACGTTTTTGAGTCAAGTCTCAAAATCTTGCCTCAGAAGATGCCGCACCATAAATGAGATATTGCTCTTGAAATTATTCTTCATAGTATTTCTTCGGGGAGGAAACCCAACATCAGGGAATAGCTCACTCATCACAGGCAGACACAGTCGTTATCACGCTGGTTTGAATTTTAACTGTTCGTAGATCATGATGCAGCTGTTCGTCGTGATCCAAATTTATATGGACAAGATTGCGAAATACATCAGTGACGACGAATGGTTTAGGGGAAAGTTGACGGCGAAATACATGTTCTATGATTTATTGCTGCAAGTTTATAGCGCGTGGAGACGGGCACCTCTCCTCTTGTTGTTGCTAGTGAAGCAGACCTTCTTCTCTGGGAAGAAGATGAGACCGGAAGCGTGCTCGATCTGGCACAGCGGGGTCAGGTAGTCGTCCAGGTTGACTTCCGCTCCCTCCTCCGGGGTGACGTTTGGCATCATGTAAGACTCCAGCTCCAGGTTTCCGTCATGGCTCTCAATGATGATCACCTGGGTACGGTGGAGTCGATATTGAGTTGTTTTGGGTTATTTCTATCGTGTGTGTGTGTGTGTGTGTATGTGTGTGTATTGCTTGTGATTTGTGAGTGTGGGGGGGGGGGGGGGGAGTCCTCGAGGTGTTTAGTTTAGTTTTAGTAAGAGTATCACGGCACTTTGCAACAAATAGGCCATATGATTGTCGATGATCTGACTTGTTACTAGAGAATAACATACAAAGAGAAAGAGGATAGATAAGGACGACAGGTTTCTTCTCAGCATCTTTGGCTATTAATATTATTATTGCTTCACATACTCCACAGTCAAGAAAGATAGCAATTGAGTTAACATAACAACAGCACATCTGATTGCGACTGGAAAACTGGTGTCTGTTTGCATAGGAGACCCAAGTTTGATTCTCGAGTGGGAGTAAATTTTTGAAGATCTGGGGCTTTCTGTTTGGAAGTAATGAAAGTGTCCCTCTCACTACGCTGCCTCACATATTGACTTTGACAGGTGGGGTGGAAAGCCTGCCTCCTAAATCGTGATTTAAGTTTGTTAGTGGGTGTTTAAAAATACATTAAAATATTTTTGTAAGTAATGGGAACAAAATTTAGAATTATTTTCCATTTGAGTACACTCAACACATTGGCCCTGGCACTGCCAGTGGCAGGGTTAAAAAATGGCCTGTTTCCTAAATCAAATGATCTGAATTGTGTCTACTCTATGGGGTTTTGCTGTTGCACGCAGGAGACCTGAATTCAATTCGTGGGTGTGGAAAATGTCGTTGCTTTGTCATCTTGGCCTTAAGCCATGCAAGGTCAATGCCTCATATTCAGTGTCAGTCCGTGGGAACTTAAAGTTAAAGCGCGGGGCTTAAAAGTTAAAAAGAGTCAGAGGAGTAACTTATAAAGTGAAGAAAACCAGGTGGGGCTGAGGTTCCAGCCCAAGCCCCACCTCACAAGACACCACTGACTGATTGGTTGGGTCTGTAGTCTGGTAACGGCGGCCAGGCTACCAG